AAATTCCCACCTTGTTACACCTGAACCGGATAAACCTCTATATTTGCCTCAGCTAAAGGCTCTTAGATTTTTCCTGTGTACGATAAGTATCTTGATTTATTTTGCGAGGAAAGATCTGTACTTTTAAAGGATGCCTGTCATTCTTAATACGTTCAATTTCGTATAATACTGTGCAACACCTCTGTTGTGAAATAGTTGCTTCAGGCGCCGCCGCACGGCGGGTGGGTGGCCAGCGCGAGAGGCTCACTGGCGCCTACAAACCTAAGTGGATACTTCAAGCATTGTGCTATGCGAGAAGTATCCACTTAGGTTTGCAGGCGCCAGTGAGCCTCTCGCGCTGGCAGCACGCCGCTCCGCTCTGTTAGGCTTTAATATTTATACTCGCATAGTCAGCGTTTTTTAACTCATGACTTTGAAATGTTAGCTCACTCTGCATTGATTATTCTCATTTAAAATGATGGAAAAAATATGTATCAATTTATCAAAGGAGAATAATAATTATAATGTGTGTTTTTTTAAATATTGGTGGCTCCGTGTCAAATTTAATGATTTCCAAAGCATTTTAATTTTTTCTTTTACATTTTGTGCTTTTATTGTGCTGCAGCGAGGTGTACGCGCAACGAAACGCTCAAAATTTGACGTATTTGACTCTAAAAGATCGATGTACAAATGTGTTAAAACTAAAGATTGCGTGCATCTTGGGTTTTTCCCGCTTTTATTCATTTTTGCAGTTTCTGTCGGCACAACTGCGGCTCATTGAGAGTAATGTCGCTTGAAAAAGGTTTTACAAATATTTGTCACGTTTTAAAAGTATAAATGTGTTCAAAATTAAGCTTATTTTACGCGTGGGCGTAAACTACTGGACAAAAAAAGGTGTGCGGACAAAAATTCGTTGACAAAATGTCCTGAAACCGAATCGTCGTATTATTGTTTGAACCTATATGTCCAAATTCTTCGGGCTGATTGTTGAAATTGAAACGCAAAGCGATAGACAAAGAGGACCTAAGGAGTATGGGGCAATCCTATTGGTTGAAGTAGACTAAGGGCGAAAATTATGGACTAACTAAAGGGTATCCTGTGAGTTGCCGTCAGTTAGTCTATTACCTACCTACCTACTGCAACCACTCGCTTCCACCAATAGGATCCCTTCATATACTTGTTGTCCTCTTTGTCTATGGTTTGGCCATCAATTTCAACAATCAGCCCGCTGGCTTCTTTCTAGCGTAATGAAGTACATGTAAACACAAAGGTATGGACCACTAGACAAGGTACGAATTTCAGCTTTCTGATATATGTTTCATTGTTTCTTAACCAAAATTTCACGAAGAACAGGATACGTACAACGAAAATTACCGTAACTCCTAACGAAGATATTCAATGATTCTTGATGCGTGAATTCAAACCACCCGCTCATGAAAACTCAATGCTCTACGTGGTTCACATCGCGCGCTAAACGTTATCATGAACGTATCTGTGATAAAAAAATCTGGCAACCTCAATCTTGACGCTTTGGCTCAGCTATAGCAAATTGCCCATAGTTTGAAAAACATATGGTGGGAAATGAACATTGCTCGATTGAGAAGCTTGCTGAAACCGTTGTAGTGCGCGGTTTGACTCACGTAGAGCTTTGAGTTTTTTGTGAGCGGACAGTTCCAATTCCTCGAAACCAATGTGAAATAAAAACGTTAATATCTTCGTTAAGAGTCGGTTTTAGTAACTTTTATTGCGCGAATCGTGTTCTACGTGAAATTTTGGTTAAGATACATGTATGAGAATACTTAAATTCGTACCTTGTCTAGTGGTTCATTCCGAAACTTTTTTGTCGACTTTTTTTGGGACTCCCTAATCTATGAGCCTAAATTCTGGCTTCTTTCTAACGTGATAGAGTACGTGTTAACACACAGAAATTATCCTGATTTTCGCCTGGAAACGCAACCTCGGTATGCTACCACGAATCATTTCACCGCGGGCCGTGCAGTCACATTTAGAGAAATTGGAATTGATTTATGAACACTCGCCGATCGGCTCCGGCGGTGATTTATTGGACTCCGCGTGGCGGCGTGCGCATGCGCCGGTAATCGCCGACAGGAACCGACGGGCGCTAAACACCGGTGGCAAACCCCGCCACCGCACCGCCTGGATCCTCCACGGTACCGGGGTCCGGGGCCCGGTCAGCGGGCCAGCTCCGGTCATTAGGTCCAGATCCAGATCCAGGTGCAATATTGCCGTAAGCCGGGTTTGTTAACTCGTCTGACAGACTTAAGGACTGCTTGTAAAATACGTAACGTCAAATTTCGGATTTCTCAAGCCCTTAGTGCGTTGCGTATTTCACTCACGGCCCCTCGGGTCTTTTTGAGTTGAGTTTCTTCCTCTGCGGGCTGATTATTGAAATTGATAGACAAAGAAGACATGGAAAGTAGGGCGCGATCCTATCGGTTGAAACGGGTGGCTCTTATAGACTAAGGGAGAAAATGATGGACTAACTGTCGGGTCTCTCGTGAGTTGCCGTTAGTTAGTCTATTACCATCTCCTTTGTCCATTGACACTCGCTTCCACCAGTAGGATCCCTCCGTATCCCTTTTGTCTTCTTTGTCTATAGCTTTGTCTATCAATTTCAATAATCGGGCCGCTGGAGCGGATGAAGGAGAAGAGGATGATACCTAAAGTCCGAGGAGACAAATAAGAAAAATGTCTCTGTCCTCCTCCCTCCGATTTATAGTGAATCCTCACCTACAAAATTTGTTTGGATTCCTGGTTGATCCTCCTGTGCTCTTGATCCATAATTTTGTTCGTTGAGTTTGAACCGAGCCTGTCCTCTAGACGTCTGTCGATACTTCGGTTCATCGAAAATATTCCGGAGGGCTTGCTAGAGCAGGGTCATTGGTGGTGAATTCCATGGCCAAAGGGGTTGTGCGTTGGGGTGGCATAAAATTTGCGGAAAATCGCTGGACATCATTAATGGACGGCTTCTGGCACGTAATCCCAAACTCCAGTAAAAACTTTATCATTTTAACTACCCTGCACTGAAAAAAAGAAGTTACGGGCTATGTAGACACACCGTCCGTTCCGGGCTTAGAGGCCGACAGTGCCGGGTGCTGAAGCCGTAGCTTCGATTGCTCTCGGCGCCATGCTCGGAACTTTCGGCGTCTAAGCTCAGAACGCGGACAGTATGTTTATATAGCCAGTAAGTACACTGAAAAAAAAACTCCGGCCGTGCGAGCCGCAATTACGGGCTATACAGGGTGTACCAAAAGTCCGTCCCACCCCTGCTAACTTTTGAACGAATTGAGCTAGGGTAATGAAACTTTGGGAATGTTCCTATCTCAAAGGGGACCATCTTTTGGGGGGGTCAAAATTTTGGTTCCCCATCAGGGGGGGCGCGGGGGGCCCCCAACTTTTTTTTTTCAAATGGCAACCCCTATCTTGTGATACCTCATTCGAAAGAGCATAAAAAACTAAGAATTTTGGCGCAAACCGCAGATCAATATCTTAATTTTTGACCGAGTTATGATACACCGAAAAAAAATTGAAGTTAATTTAACATTCTGGATGTAAAAAAAAGTGTGCGAGAACTTACAAAATGCTAAAATACCTGCCACAACAGTTACTTCAGCAATGCCAAGATGTAAAATTAAGTGCTGTGGCGGGTAATTCAGCATTTATAAGTTCTCGCACACTTTTTTTACATTCAGAATGTTAATTTAACTTCCCTTTTTTTTTCGGTGTAGGTCAAAGGTCAAATTTGACCTATTTTCAAAAAATCATAACTCCGGTTCAAATTATCGTAGAGAAAAAAATAAAACGGGAAAATTTACCAAATTGTGTCCGCTTTTAAGTAAAAATTGCAGAAATCACTTCGCTGTAATTTTAAGGGGGGGCTCGGACCCCCAAATACGTCAATTCAAAGGTCATTCAATTTTCCCGCGAAAAAAGGCAATTTCCCCTAGATTTGCCTCCACATTATCTCAGTAAGGTCAAAATTAGTTCAACATTACGTTGGCAAGTCCCCAAATTTCGGGAAAAGTTAAAAAAAAAAGAAATTTAAACGGTCAAATTTAATCACCTTAAATTTCGTTTTTTTTTAAACTTTTCCCGAAATTTGGGGACTTGCCAACGTAATGTTGAACTAATTTTGACCTTACTGAGATAATGTGGAGGCAAATCTAGGGGAAATTGCCTTTTTTCGCGGGAAAATTGAATGACCTTTGAATTGACGTATTTGGGGGTCCGAGCCCCCCCTTAAAATTACAGCGAAGTGATTTCTGCAATTTTTACTTAAAAGCGGACACAATTTGGTAAATTTTCCCGTTTTATTTTTTTCTTTACGATAATTTGAACCGGAGTTATGATTTTTTGAAAATAGGTCAAATTTGACCTTTGACCTATCATAACTCGGTCAAAAATTAAGATATTGATCTGCGGTTTGCGCCAAAATTCTTAGTTTTTTATGCTCTTTCGAATGATGTATCACAAGATAGGGGTTGCCATTTGAAAAAAAAAAGTTGGGGGCCCCCCGCGCCCCCCCTGAGGGGGGACCAAAATTTTGACCCCCCCAAAAGATGGTCCCCTTTGAGATAGGAACATTCCCAAAGTTTCATTACCCTAGCTCAATTCGTTCAAAAGTTAGCAGGGGTGGGACGGACTTTTGGTACACCCTGTATAGACATACCGTCCGGTCCGGGCTCAAAGGCCGAAAATTCCGGCTGCTGGAGGCGTAGCTTCGATTGCTCCGGGTTCAGAGGCCAAAGCTACGACTCCAGCAGCCAGAATTTTTGGCCTTTGAGCCCGGAACGGACGGTATAGCCTGATATAGCCCGTAATTGCGGCTGGCCGGAGTTTTTTTTCAGTGTACGGCTGCCGCGGCCGGAGTTTTTTTAAAGTGTAAGACTGTAAGAACTATCACCTTTTCCTTTCTATATTCACGTGAGATCAATGTCTATTTCTTTTGCTTGACTTGGATTCCGAACAACGACTGATTTGAGATTTGTTTTTTGTTTCAGCACGCGATCAACGTGCGGAAATACGCGGAGGAATACGTGCAACGGCGACAGGCGGCCGGTAAGTCGAATCACATAATCGCGGTGCAGGTCCTGAACTTGGCCAACACGAAGTACCTGCCGGGAGCCAAACCAGGGACCTTCTTCGCCCGGGACAACGTCTCCAACTTCATCTCGTGGTGCCGCAACGGCCTCGGCGTCATCGAGTGCCTCCTCTTCGAGACCGACGACCTCATCCTCCGCAAGAACGAGAAGCATGTCATCCTCTGTCTCCTCGAGGTAATTATCAACCCTCGCATTCTTTCCTAATCAACCCTTCCCAAGTAGCAGAGGTTGCAACAACTTGCAACAAAATCGTTTGATTCTTGCAACTAATACATTGATTTGCAGATTGCCTACTCTCTTCCCCGAAGGAGCCATCATTGTTGGAACTAGTTGCAATTATGTCGAAACATGTTTCAACTTCAAAGTATTGCTGGTTGCCTATCTTTAGATTTTGAACAACTCTGGTGCAGCAATTTTGCAATCTCGACAGGTTGCAACTTTGTCTTCCGATAAGATCGCCGAAAATCGGCACTTATCGGCCAGAAGTTGACCGAAAGTTGCAACTTTGTTGCAACTAGTACCAACATTGTTTCAACTTGTTGCAACTTTTACATTGAGAAATGCTACTTGGGTTACTTTCAGCATTTTCATCGTCTTTTGCTATACTTCTTCCTATCCTCCTTTTGGTTCTTCTCTCTTTTTCTCCTCTTCTTCCTCTAACTCCTGCCTTTGTCTCCTCTTCATCTTCTTTCTCTTCTCTCTTCTTCTCCTCCTCTTCCTCACTCTCTTCTCTTTGTCTTCTCCTCTTCCTCTTCTCTCTTCGTCGCCTTCTCTTCCTCATTCTCTTCTCTCTTCAAATTCTCCTCTTCCTCATTCTCTCCTCTTTGTTTCTCTTTTTTTCTTCTATTTTCCTCTCCTCTCTGCGTCATCATCTCCTCTTTTTCCTCTTCTCCTATTTCATTATTCTCCTCTTTATTGTCTTTTCTTACTTCCTCTTTTTCCTTTCCCTCTTCCTACTCTACCTCTTCTTTTTATCCTTCCTTTCCTCTCTCTCTTTCATCTCTATATCCTATCCTCTGGTCTCTCCTTCCTCTTACCTTGGGGCTTTATTTTTGAAATTGGTAGACACAGCATTAGACGAAGAAGACAAAAGGGATATGGAAGGATTCTATTGGTGAAAGTGGGTAGTTGCAGTGGACAAAGGAGGTATGTGATAGACTAACAAACGGCAACCCACAAGAGACCCTATATAATTAGTCCATCATTTTTTCTCTCAGTCTATTGAAACCACCCATTTCAACCAATAGGATTGCTCCATTCTCCCTACGTCTTCTTTGTCTATAGCTTTGTTTATCACTTTCAACGGTCAGTCCGCTGGAGACTTTTAAAAATAAATGATGCCCCCAGGTTACTCTAACGACCCTGTTTTTTTTTCAATTCCAGGTCGCTCGGCGGGGGGCGAAACTGGGGATGCCGGCCCCGATGTTGGTGCAGCTGGAGCGGGAGATCGACCGGGAGATCGCCAACGACAAACGAAAACACGGCAACAACTGCCAGTTCGAGTTCACCGTTGACGAGGACGTTGACGATTACAGCGACGATGACCAGCCCATCGAGTACGGACCACAGCCGCAGATCGTCACCAACGACCTCAAGAGCCTCGACGAAATGGTAAGTCTTCTCATCAATTTGAATTTGAAATTCCTGCCAATGAACAATAGCGGGAATTTCAAATTTAGTGGAAAATTGAAGTAAGCGGGAAATTTTGAATATTGGTCTGTTAGGAGGGTAAGTGAATTGAAGGTATGCTTCTTTGCGACACGCTATCCAAAAGCGACGAAACGTTCCGTTCTGTTACGTTTCAGTCTGTGCGTGAAGTTTGAAATAAATGCCGATTTTTTCAATCAATTCTTATTGGTCCAATCGCTCTCGGCCAGAAAAAGATTGAATAAATGAGAGTCGGGTATGAAAATCTTTTAATTTTTTTGGGCTGTTCTTTTGTTGACGCAGGCCTAAGAGAGCGCGATGCGCTCCCTGGGGGTTGGGCCGCGTAGCGGCCATGGGGCCCCCTAGTATTCTACTAAGTTCTCAAAAAATTACATTGACTACCTTCATAGAGAAACGATTAAGTATGACAGGAAGCCTGCAATGTCGCAAAAGGAGAGACGTGACTTTACACTTTGGCCATCGCTATTAATTTTATTAATAGAAATCTAGCAGCGTCGGAAAGTTCATACAGCTTTTTTCCTTAGCACGGCCATACGTTTTAGCGTGTAATACATCTCAAATGAGCCAAATTAATTGTGTTTACCATAGCGGTCGTCCGCTCTATCTTCCGGTACATCGATCCGCAAAACAAGTATCCCGCCAGCACGAGTAATAAAAAACACGTTACATTTAATACACAGCGTATCGGGGCGCCGCTATCTCCCTCAATGTAATCGCATCAAAAACATCAGCTCCAACTTTTACGAGTCGGTCGTCTGGCCGACGCGACGCGGGTTGCAGTCTCGTGTAATGGAAGGGGCTATCGAGGAAAAGTTTTCGCGGAGAGGATAGTTTTATCCCTACGAGATCGAAGTTTTGAACTCGGCTCCGAGACACTTTTCTCTTGCAGTCGAGTAATTTGCGATTCCAGGAAGACGCGAGTGAAGTTTTCGGAAGTTTACCTCTTCTGGTCGGATGGGAAAAGGAAATCTTTTCGCGTCTAAGAGCCCGAACGACTCCGTAATTATGAGTTCCGCTCATCTCTGTAAAGGTCGAGATGAGTTGCCAAAAATAGTTTGCAAAATGGAAAATTCCCTTGACTGAGGTATTGATGAAATTCTGCGGGCTGTCTTCTTCTTCTTCTTCTTCTTCTTCTTCTTCTTTTTCTTCCTCCTCTTCATTATTCATTGAGCGATGCATCGATGCAATTTTTACTGGTTGCATTCTTCCTCTTTATCCTTTGACCAATAAAGTAATATAATTTTTCTGCTTGTTCTACTCTCTTCTTTTCCTTTTTCTTCTTCCTCATATTCTTCCTCTTCTCACCAATAGTTTTGGCTCTCCTCTTCCACTATCCTTTTTATTTCTCTTCCTGTTCTAAAATTTTTGAGCTTTCAGGGTCAAACTTATTTTAGATTTTCCAGATTTTCTTACTCTTTGCGGTGGCACCAATAAGTCAAATTTTAATTTTTGGAAGATAATGCCCCTTTTCACAGATCCGGTCGCGTGTTAATTCTCCTTCTCTATCTTTCTCAATGCTCATAACTCGGAACAAACCGTCCGTATCTAGGGTTTGTCACTCTTTCTACGACCTGAAACCCATATTTATCGCCGAGATGTTTCCTTTTCCGGTCTGAAACCATTGATTCTTCGTTCCATCTGAGAAGTGTACCGTCGATCGGGAAATGGAGTTCATTGATTGATGACGTAGAAAGTATTTGTCGAATTAAAATGAATTCTAGTTTTTGCGGAAGAATACGAGAATCCAACGGATATCCGCGTCAATCTGGCAACTTTCGCTTCGATTCGATGATCAAAGCGCGCGAATGTTCCGTGGGTGACGATGACAGCATGTTCGAGACATGCGTGAGGTGTCTCCACTTTAAGCGTCTGAGTAACGTCAATGTTCAACCTTGTTGCCTCATCGCAGGAAATATGATCGTACTTATGCTAAAAGGAACTATGTTGCAAGTAAAGCCTATGCCCATAGTTCTTTTTATAGCATAAATACGTCCATATATCGATGGCCGAAGTGCAATACCACGTATTTCCATTTGCGACATACTTTATTTTTTCTTTGAAAATCGTAATTTCTTGAAAATTTCCCTGATTCTCCTTTTCTAGTAGAATAAGTTGTATTCGAAGCTCAGGCTTTAAAGTTTGCTTGCTTCTCTCTGAAAATATAAAATAGGAACGAAAATTTTGTAACATTGCAATGGAGTTCGGCCGTGGATCAGGCAAGTTGCAGACAGTTTCTAAAGTCCATATATTATTGATTAATCGATCGACTATAATGAGCTGTATTCTTCAAAGTGCTAGAGATCCACCTTCAGCGAAAGTTTTTCAAACTAGCGTCTCTAAACAAGGTGTCTACCGTCTTTGAAAACAGGAAAAATCAAAAAAATATCTGGAAAATTGTCCGTAGATCAGGAAATTCCTAGCATGTAAGGCATTTTTCAACATCCTGCTGTTCATGACTGGAAAAAGCCACAAGTTTGACTCAACTCATTTAGTATGATGGTTTGTAAAATCAAACGAGTGTCAATTTTTTCGCGCGATAAATCAGAAAATCTCAAAATTTAATTTCTGTAGACACCCTGCGATTCCTGATACCCGTGAAATTTTAAGATAAATATGGCGGCGTCGCAGTAAATTTAATGTGACAAATGCTCGATACGACGTGATGATGACGTATTTCTCCGTCGGGTCGCGCGCTTCGCGTCTCCTCCGCCGCTCTTTTCCGTTGTCGTGTCTTCCGAGGACAGGAAACGAAAGACTGACTTTCAGGATGAACGAAGATGGGCCTCTGCTTTTTCCGTCGCGACTGATCAATCCTCTGTCACCCGACTCTATTCTTTCGATCCAGGTCAATCGCTGCGTGCCCTCATTATGAATGTCCTATTTTGCACCTAGAGTCCCTTTATACTGAGAGTCAAGACAATGTGAATCCATTTCTGATTGGTTCCCGTATTTTAGGCCTTCACAGTGTCACAAACGGGAATAAAGATTACATTTTCACCGCTTGCAAAGATTATAATCTGGAATGAACCAAGGAATTACAGGTTCGGCAAGGATCAAACGGAATGAGAGAAGGAACGGAGAAAGGAATTTGAGAATGGGTCGATCAAAGATTACGAAAAACGTTCAATTTCTGTAATCTTTATTCCCGTTTGTGACTCCATAAGGGGGTGTTGTCTTGACTCTCAGTATAAAGGGACTCTATTTGCACCCAGCTTGGACACGAATAGAGTACCTATGCAGGAGAAGTACGGAAAGTACGGACATGTCAGTAATTTTGAGGTAGTAAACCGCAGTGGAGGTACGAAGTTTCGCACTTGGGCCATCGATATATCAGAATTCTTAAATTAGGACCTTGTCCGCAGTATTCTATTTTCGAGAACTTACTGCCCTGTATCAGTGTGGCAAAATTTCATGAAAAGTAAAATTTTGAAATTTCATGTGAAATATCTCATGAAATTTCAGAAATTTATTAAAGATATTGAAAAATACCGGTGCCTTTTCAGGTTTCGCAAAACTCTGGTAAAAATTGGCGATACGAGCTGCGTTTCAAAATACCATGGGAGTTTTTATAGCCGACTGAAGAAAGGCTATTGAAAATCATATAGCTGGCTGTAGAAAGCGAAGCAAATCATATAGCCGGGCTATACGAAGCTATAAAAAAGTATACAGTCGGGCTATAGTTCCTATCGCCGGGCTTTACACTTTTTCGCCATTGGCTATAAAATTCTATAAGAAATTGTGTAGAAATTCGTGTGCTTTGGCAATCATTAAGTTTGATACGGAACTACCTTAATATATACAAAACACACATTATATTTTCCTTTAAAACATATTTTTTTTTCATCAATTAAAATGAGATGGTCCATACAGAGTGTGCAAATATTTCAAAATCATGAGTTAAAAAACGCTGACTCCGCGAGATTAAATATTAGAGCCTAACCTACAAACCTAACAGGGATACTTCACGCATTGCGCGGTGACGCACTGGCGCCTACAAACCTAACAGGGATACTTCACGCATTGCGCAATGCTTGAAGTATCCCTGTTAGGT